TCCTTAAGGGGGACGTTAAGCAAAAAATGAAAGGTTCCATATTGTTAAGAACATTATTTTGAACATCTTTTGTTCAATATTGCTTATCAAATTATTTCCCACTTTTGAGATATAAAGCGTCAAAGATTTAGCATTCTGGCCCCTTATGACCCCTAATTATGTAACATATGATATGAATATCATGATACATAGTTGTAAATTGTTGAGATAACCATTTTTGCTTCAGTAATATATACCAAAATATTGATCGTTAAAGAGTTATTGAGTTAATACTTTTGGCCCCTCTCGGCCCCTAATATGATAAGTCAGCCCTTTTTTCCTGATATCATATTAAAGATCTTGTCATTCTGCACAAATTATGTTCAGTATGTTTTAACAAAATAATTATACTTTAAAAAATATGATACAAAATGTCTCAAAAATTCACTCATGATTCGTGTCCTAAATTTTGACCCCTACCGAGCTTCCATACTAGGCACTTCCGGAAAATATCCAAACCCAGGTGCAAAATGGCAACATGTCCTCTATCATCACTGAAAATTTCAGCACTCTAGCTTAAGCCGTTTTTGAGTTCCATCGCAGACAAGGAGGCCCTCTAAATTTTCATAAAAGGGAGATAACTTCCGACCAGAAGTAAATATCCCTTAACGGAATTGCCAGAATTAACTTCAGATGTAAACGCATCTACCATGAAAATTTGAATGAAATTGATCCAGCCATCTCCGAGAAATCGTCTGCACAAAATTTGTAAGAAGAAAAAAGAATAAAAATAATAATAACTAGATGAGATCTCGTTGCGAGCAACGAGTAGGTCTTCCGTCCGATTTTTCGATAAGATGAGATATGATTTTGACTATGATCTTTGTTAAAAGATAATAATATATATAGACTTCCCTAATTAGATTTCAATTCTTTGATTTTATATACATTATCAAAGAGCTATCGATGAATTGCTTTTGGCCCCTCTGAACCCCTAGTTTGAGGGGCAGGCCCTTTTTCTTGATATCAATTGAAAGGTCTTGTGATTTTGAAAACTTTTTGTTCAACAACTACTCAGAGATTTCTTTCCGTTGTGGAAATATGCTGAATGGAAATATTTAGGGGCCACCTCTCCAAGTCCTTAATGGGGCCGTTTGACAGAAATTGAAAGGGTGCAAATTGTTTAGAACATTATTCTGACCAACTTTTGTTCAGTATTGCTTAACGAAATATTCCCCCTTTTCGAGATATAAAGCGTCGAAGATTCAGCATTCTGGCCCCTTGTGACCCCTTATTATGTAACATATGATCAGAATCTTATCATATATTGTTGTAAATCGTTAAGATAAGCATCTTTGCTTCAGTAATGTATTACAAATTATTGATCGTTAAAGAGTTATAGATGAAAGACTTTTGGCCCCTCTGAGCCCCTAATTTGAGGGATCAGCCCCTTTTTTTTATATTAAATGAAAGGCCTTGTGATTTTGAAAACTTTTTGTTCAACAACTATTGAGAGATTTCTTTTCGTTATAAAGATATGCCGAATGGAAATATTTAGGGGCCACCCCTCCAAGTCCTTAATGGGGCCGTTTGACAGAAATTGAAAGGGTGCATATTGTTTAGAACATTATTCTGACCATCTTTTGTTCAGTATTGCTTTTCAAAATGTTCCCCCTTTTCGAGATATAAAGCGTCGAAGATTCAGCATTCTGGCCCCTTGTGACCCCTTATTATGTAACATATGATCAGAATCTTATCATACATAGTTGTAAATCGTTAAGATAAGCATCTTTGCTTCAGTAATGTATTACGAATTATTGATCGTTAAAGAGTTATAGATGAAAAACTTTTGGCCCCTCTGAGCCCCTAATTTGAGGGGTCAGCCCCTTTTTCTTGATATCAATTGAAAGCTCTTGTGATTTTGAAGACTTTTTGTTCAACAACTATTCAGAGATTTCTTTTCGTTGTGGAGATATGCCGAATGGAAATATTTAGGGGCCACCCCTCCAAGTCCTTAATGGGGCCGTTTGACAAAAATTGAGAGGGTGCATATTGTTTAGAACATTATTCTGACCATCTTTTGTTCAGTATTGCTTTTCAAAATATTCCCCCTTTTCGAGATATAAAGCGTCGAAGATTCAGCATTCTGGCCCCTTGTGACCCCTTATTATGTAACATATGATCAGAATTTTATCATACATTGTTGTAAATCGTTAAGATAAACATCTTTGTTTCAGTAATGTATTACAAATTATTGATCGTTAAAGAGTTATAGGTTGAAAACTTTTGGCCCCTCTGAGCCCCTAATTTGAGGGGTCAGCCCCTTTTTCTTGATATCAATTGAAAGCTCTTGTGATTTTGAAGACTTTTTGTTCAACAACTATTCAGATATTTCTTTTCGTTGTGGAGATATGCCGAATGGAAATATTTAGGGGCCACCCCTCCAAGTCCTTAATGGGGCCGTTTGACAAAAATTGAGAGGGTGCATATTGTTTAGAACATTATTCTGACGATCTTTTGTTCAGTATTGCTTATCGAAATATTCCCCCTTTTCGAGATATAAAGCGTCAAAGATTCAGCATTCTGGCCCCTTGTGACCCCTTATTGCGTAATCTATGATCTCAATTATATAATATATTGTTGTAAATCATTAAGATAAACATCTTTGCTTCAGTAATGTATTACGAATTATTGATCGTTAAAGAGTTATAGATGAAAGACTTTTGTCCCCTTTCAGCCCCTAATTTGAGGGGTCAGCCCCTTTTTCTTGATATCAAATGAAAGGTCGTATCATTCTGCACAACTTTTCTTCTATATGTTATAGCAAATTCTTAACAAGTATGAAGATATGAAAGAAAAGGTGTAAAATTTTGTGAGATGTTTCTGAGACATTTTTTGAGCCCTACCGAGCTTTGGCGCCATTTGCGGTATCGAGATTTGGACACCTGCCTGCAAATCTACAATCCTTCCCCTACCTTCACTGAAAATCTTGACTCAATATCTTAAGTCGTTTCGGAGGAGTTTCCAGGACAAGCCGACCCTCTGAAAATCAGAAAATCCTAAATATCTCGAGATGGAAAGTAAGGTCATCAACGAAAAAAATTTCCAATAAGGTTCAGATGAATACCTATCAGATCTGAAAGTTTCATGAAAATCGGTCAAGACGTTACTGAGAACTTGCGTGCACAAAATCGGTAAGAATAATAATAATAATAATAATAATAGGGAAAAAGAAACCGAACGAAAACAATAAGGTCTTCCGTTGGAGACGGAAGACCTTAATAAAGGTGAAAAAGAAACCGAAGAATAATAGAAGGGTCTTCTGCTGAAGACGGAAGACCCTAATAAAGGTGAAAAAGAAACCTAAGAATAATAGAAGGGTCTTCCGCTGAAGACGGAAGACCCTAATAAACGAGTATACAAAATCTTAAATTTTACTATAGAAATATCTTGGTAAATTGAATAAAAGAGATACCATGTTTGTACTTAAGTTACTTTTAAACAGCTCTTGCTGTGTTCAAAGAGTGTAGGTTAACGAGGTTCGCTCCTGAGCTTTTGAGCAGATTTTTATTTTAACCTATATTTAAAAAAATCTGCGTAATGTTTTAATTCTTATAATAAATTTGGATTCTACAATGACAAATAAACTATATTCAGTTAAAACTCCATGATTAAATTCTGTACCAAAAGCATTTAGTGAGGAACTATATTTCGTGGTGGAAGGTTTTTTAGAAGAAAATGATCATTTTTTCTCTTTCGAAGTATTTAAAGTATGTTAAGTTTGGATTCCTATTTTTACATGCAGTCTGCACACAGAATTATTTTGAGCAGTGAACTGTTTTATACTGGTCCTAAATTATTTATTTAATAAACTGACATGAATTCAATCATCATATTTGATAAATAAATGAAATATATTGTGAAAATCAAGAGAAAAAATAGCCCTTAATTTAAGCTCAAAAATAGCACTATTTTAGTAATATCTAAAAATTAACATCACAGACCCCAACTTTCAACTTTCTTTTCTGAATATACAAGATACTTTTTATCATTCTTCTTATATTCAGTAAAATGTCATTACTTTTAAATGAGTTTTTTTCTTGTTAAATTTGTAATGCTAGCAAAATGAAATTTTTTGAGTGCAAAAAGGTCAAAAAATTGAACGTGCGGAGTAATTTAAAAAAAATTTTCGTTGTCAAAAATTTTAATGGGTCCCTTCAAGATGAAATAAAACTGTGTTTGTTCCCATAACTTATTTGAATAAAAAATATCGGAGGAAAAACTTTAAAAATTGATTCATGCGTAAGATGTTTTTACAGTGCAAAAAGGTCAAACTAAATGCTCTGTAGCGCCAAAAGAAGCGCATTGACCCCAATTTTTTGTTTTGATTTTTAATTAAGCTATATGTATAAATTCTAAAAATATACTTGATAAAAAATTCTCATTACTTTTGATGTCAGGATCCAACCTCCTTAAGGCTTTCCGAAAAATATCACAGTGAATCCTATGCTGTCACTTCTCTGAACTACCAAGATATGACGTCATAATTGAATATGAGGTCAGGTCACTGTAGACTTGAGCAATCATGACGGAGAGAGTGTCATAAAGTTTTTGGCTTATTTTCAACCACATGTTATGGTTTATTTTCAACCACATGTTATGGTTTATTTTCAACCACATGTTATGGCTTATTTTCAACCACATGCTAAGTTTTAGAGCATTATTGTACAATTCATGTAACGTGATTGTAGTTTAAAATTTGAGGGTGTCTTATTATTGTTGAATATTACAACTTACACTGTACTTCGTTCAATTTCTTTAAATTAAAATTGTGTGTATATTTCACCTGGTGGAATTGAATTATTTAAATTGTTTTGTTCGGAATCTTGCTATTTTTATCCGGTAAATTTGAAATAACTTTGCGCTTGTAAAATCAAAAAGGAAAATGAGAAATATGTGAGGTCTTGGACATGAATGTTCTCCTTCAATTCAAGTTATGAACTCATAAAAAATGATACTAATTTAATGTCACATGTATTTAATAACTCCTTTTTTAAATCATAGTGATGGATATTTTGATTTTACATTTCTAAAAAATACATTTTCACTGCATTAAGTAATTTTGATCTCGAGTTGAAATATCAATTCAATTTTCAATGAAAAAAGAAATGGAAAAGCAAGCTTTTTGGAAAGATAATGCAAAACCTATCTAATGACTTTCTTCCAAGGATTGATCGTCTTTCTGCAAAAGATCCCATTGCTTTTCTAACACCTGAAAAGATGATATCTGATGACAAGCATGGCAAACGTAATTAGAAATATAAAACGTACATGTTTTTCTCATTGAATTCCTTTTAGTAAAATAACATTTTCCCATTTGAAAGCCAAAAAAGAAATTGTTAACACTCTTAAAAATGTTACATAACACACAAATTTGAAAATTGAATGTATTTTTTGAATAGGTTAAAAAACGACAATTTAATTTTTATGTCACAACATTAAATAACGATATGCCTGCGAGCACTATTGCTCACCCGAGAGACAATAATTTTCTAGAATTTCTATCTTGATAAATAAAATTCTAGTATAACGCATATATTTTTTTTCGATGCAAAAAGGGTATAGTAATGATTGTAAGAACTTGTTAATTATCTATTTGAGGAAAATAATAAAAAAAAAATATTTGGAATAAATCTTGTGAAACTAAAACAAATAATAATAATTAAATGTGATTAATATTAACATCTAATTTAATCTATCCCTCTGCATTACTCTTCTAGAGGTATGATATATGTAACCAGCAGCTATTCCAATTTTTTTTTAAACAAATTAATTTAAACACTTGCCTCTATCCGTTTGTTCATTTTGTGATAGATTTTATTTATCAGGGAACAATTTTTCTTCAAAGTTTCCATTCTTTCATTTTCAGCTTTCAGTTCTCTAACATAATCAATCCACTGTGTAAGTACGCAGAGAACATCCTGTTTCACATCACTGAGAAATAAATTATACGAAAGAAATAAAAGTCTTGTTGTCTTGAATGTTGCAGGATAACCTCCGGGGTCGAAAAATGTTCTTTGAAATAGTTAGCCGAGGCTTTTATATTTTAAACAGCATTTCGAGGCCTGGGAGGTTATCCTCTATCATTCACGGCAACAGGAACTTTATTTCTATTCTACTAACAGCTATAAAATACTGTTGATAGTTTCTTCTGTAGAGAAACGAACTGAGTCATCATGTCGCGAATAGGCTATTCCATTTAACACCAGGGGGTCAATGTATTTGTTTACTTGTGTATAAATTACAAAGGAATGCAATCAATTTGAGCTTGGATTAAAAATGTCCTTTAATTTTTTTTTTTTTTTTTCTTTTTTATATATATATATATATATAAATTTGTTATATATATTCATTGATTTTTATGATTGCAAACTAACTAAATCAGTTGTTTAATTTATTGTTAAATCGGTAAAATCACAGAGTGTAAATGTGTGTGTCCGTAGAACAGCCCCGTTTAACTATATAAATCCACATTTATCAGTTGCTTTAAGCAATACACACTGTCATTAGACTGCATATGACGACATATCGATATGGTCAGTAAAAGTATTAGAATCTAAATTCAAATATTTATTTCATCTCTACAGGTTTGATATGTGTTTCTTATCTGAAAATTTTTTTTATGACGTTAGTGATTTATTGGAGAATAATGTCCTCGACATTTCTTTGATCTCGGCAATAACTGTAGTAGAATTTAAAATGGCAAGACTCAGCAAGAATATAATCAACGAAGAAAAGCAACATTCTTGAAAAATAGTAACATTCTTACAATCTTCTTACAATCTAAAATGTGCTGTTTTAAACCAGCTGCACATGTTTATTTTCAAAATCTTGATCATTGTGTGTAATATTTATTAATCTATTTATTAATTTTTTTTGTATTCCTTTTTTTCTGATTAAGCGATGTCTATGAAGTAATAAATTAATAATCAATCAATTTTTGCACTAAGATATGGGAATTATGAAGCATTTAATATTTGTTTAAAGATCTTTTTAAAAGTTAAAAGGTAACTTTAGAATAACTGGACCCGAAACTTTGACTTGTGATACTTACAGGGAGCCAGTTTGTTGAAGATTTCTTGCAATTTGTTTGATTGCCTTATCAAAGCTGTTGCTTTTCAATACTCCTGAAAAGAATAAGGAAACCTGAATGTCTTTTATAACTAAGCCATCGTAGATAAAAACCTCAAGGCGACCATTTTTATTTCCTTCGTGCAGATTTTTTGGCTGCCTTTTAAAAATGTTTCTATGTTATCCAGAAACGAACAATTCACGTTTTTATATATTTGAAAAAAAAAAAAAATTATTCATATTGAGATCTAAGCGATTTACTATTATACAATATTTGACTTTTCGTCATCAAATTAAAGAACAATAATTTGATAATTACTGATCAACAATACAATGATTACAAAATATTCACATAGTTTAACTTTTACTTCAACTATTATCTCAGAAATTCATCACATGTATTGCAGTAATATTGTAAACCAACTTTTATTCGGGTCGCGAATTTTTCTCGTCGCAAATCTATAATTCAATACGTTCTATTTCCACTATGGAAGAGTTATACTTCTTAGTGCGCTCTTTTGTGAAAAAGTCGGAAAATGTACAACTCTCGCGGGATTTCTGGGACAAACGTAACATAAACATGTAAACAATATGTTGAATGTCGATGAACAAATCCTAACAATATGCAAATGAAATATTTTATTGTTGTGTACTTTATAAATATATACATCAAGAGTAGGAATGACAACGATATCAATTTATATCTGTTGTTGATCGTATGTATCTATTTATCGTATGGTACATCTAACACAATACATATGCCTCGGAAATGTCGTATTGTTTATTAATGGATGATAAATTTAGGGTTCTCGCTCTCTTACATATGTCTTTTAGTTCTTCTTTTCTTTAATTGGAATGACAAATACATTTAACATTTAAAATTGGATTGAGATTGGCATGTTTTGTATTATCCGCAACGCCATGCTGTCCCAGTCAGACGACCAAACGCGCCTCTAATTTTGAAGAGTTCACTGATTGGAAATCAAACGTATTGTGTACTTATGTATCATGTTTTCCTAGTCGAGGAAATTAACAGTCGCGGATGGATTTCAGGCAGACAAATTACGATTAAAAGATTACGCGAATATTAGCTGGTTTACAATAGTTGTCGTATGGTTTTTTTATGTTTGTTTGTTTGGTTTTTTTTTTTTATAGTTTTTTTTTATGCTTTTATAATTGTGATTGTTTTAATGTATACGTCATAAATAAAAGAGACAAGTACATATTTTAAAAAAGTATTGGCATGAACTGTATGAACCAAAATTTTCATTGCACAATAACCAATTTTCCATTTTTTCATGAAGTCATTTTTGATCAATCATTCTGTAGGTTGTATTTTTCGTTTTTCAAATTGACGTCAAATGTTTATACATACCTTTTCTGTTTTCTTTTCTCTGCTTTCTAATTATATATCCCATCTTTGGAATTTTACCACACTCTTTCCTCATCTGCATGTGAGATTTAACATCTTTTATCTCACTGGTTTTGTTTAAAACATGAATGGATAAAACATCAATAAAAAACACCGTGTTAACGCCTCCTGTCATTTCAACCAACGAATAGTAAGTATTCTAAATGCAAATATAAATGCCCTTAAATAATAAATTGTGCAGATGACAATTTCACCGACAAAATGGCCTTGTTTGTTTGCAGCCATTTGATGTGACTGCTTCTCGGATATTTAAACATTTTTTTAAGTTGTGCAAACACATTCTAATGTGTAACGAGCAACGGTAATTGTATGGATATTCATATTTTCAAAAGAGGCGTTCAATGAATTCTGCGAAAAGCATAAGTTTGTTTAATTAAAAAATGTACATGACTGTATACTAGTTTTGTCTTACTTTTAGAAAGTAAAATTATATTTTAAAAAAAGATGATAATGTTTATCAAAAAGAAATAAATAAAGAGTTCACAACTACTCTATCTATCTAAAGAAAAATGCCAAGTTTCTTTCTGATTGACGACAGCATTTTTTTTGTTTTTTTTGTTTTATTTTGTGCAAATCTTTGCATTCGAAAATTTGTAACTTAAATCATTAAAAATACTTTTCAGATACAAAAACTACTCGGCTATGTTAAGGATGGAAATGGGAAATGTGATTTTAGTGCCTTTTTACGAGGGGCATTTCAAAAGTTCTGGCAACTGGTATATAAAATTTTAACTACGTTACGGAATAAATGACTCTGATACCACTGCAAAATTAGGCAAACATGCATTATAATGACGTCATTTTACATTCAAAATGACGTAAAGGTCTGCTAAAATGACGTCATAAATAGGTATACTCTGTATACTGGGCGTAAAAATGACTGATAAGGAGAACAATTTTTTTGTTGAGCAAAGAGCGTATTGCAAAATTCGCTCATTGCTTGGCTTTACGGCAACAGAAATAAAAGCCGATTTAGATGTAGTATATAGAGAGCATGCTCTTTCATATCGAGCAATAGCAAGATGGGTAGTTCAGTTTAAAGAGGGTAGAAAATCAATTGAAGATGACCCCCGTTCGGGGCGTCCAGTTTGTGCATATGGCGAAAAAGAAATCGTCGCTGTTCAAAATAGGATAACTGATGATGCTAGATATACAGTTGAGGAAATAGCAGACTTAACTAACATTAATTCGTCAGCAGTTTTTCGTATTTTAAAGGAAAACTTAAAGCTTAGGAAAGTCTGTGCTAGGTGGGTGCCGCATCTTCTCTCGGAAGAGCAAAAGCGCATCCGGGTAGAAATGGCTTCACAGTTACTAACAATTTATGAAGATTGTGACCAAAGGCGAATAAATGAGATTGTAACTGGTGATGAAACATGGATATATTTTTTTGAACCGGAAACTAAGCTCAATAATAAAGTTTGGATCGGTGAAAATGATACAAGGCCTCAAATTGCACGCAGAAACTGGTCTGTCCGGAGAGTAATGTACGCCTTATTTTTTGATTCTAAAGACCCTGTTGCTCAAGTTCCGGTTCCAGAACACAGCAGTGTTACTGGTCAATTTTATGCAGAGAATGTCTTGTCTCAGGTTGTAGAGCACCATAAAACGACCCGACCAACAACCAGTACTAGAGGAATAAAGCTCCTCCATGACAACGCACCTGCCCATAGATCAGAGGTAGTAACCAAATATTTAAAGGAAAATGGTATTGCCGTTTTACCACATCCACCCTACAGTCCTGACCTAGCTCCATGCGATTTTTGGTTGAATGCCGTTATCAAAGAAGCCCTCCGAGGACGGCGATTTGAAAGTCGTCATGCAGTCGGAAGTGCCGTATTCCAGTGTATGAAGCGTATACCGAAAGAGGAGTATAGTTCAGCATTTTCCACGTGGATTTCAAGACTGAAAAAGTGTGTCCAGGTCAACGGAGACTCTTTTGAGGGATTGATATAATTTAATTTATGATAATGACGCTCATTAATTTACCGCACACCAGTTGCCAGAACTTTTGAAATGCCCCTCGTAATATGTATGTGGGTCATTCAATATGTTAAGTAATATGCAGTTTATTTTAATAAATGTAGAAGTATATTAATTTAATTTTTTAACAGTTGGAAGTGCTATTCATCGATATCTTTTAGGCATCCTGTTTTGAGGTGTGCTGCATTTTGAAATATGTTTGTATTGTTTCATCATGTATATATTAAGTAACATAAAGAAACTTCTGGAACATTCCAGAATGGTCAATTTGTGTGGTCATTTTTTCTAGAACATACTTGAATTTCTTGTATCTCCAGAATGTTCCAGTAACATCATATATTTACAACTTCTAGAATTTCCTATATTTTTGTAAATGTAAATACACTGTCAATTGTATGCATGGGTAAGACTAACGTTCGGAGTACAAAGAGACTAGGAAAGGATACTCTCACTGGGACATTGTGTGTAGTAATGGACACTCTTTTGTATGTATATTTGGATTCTTGCTGTAAGTTTGTACTTTTTTTATTTTTATATATTACTGTAAATAAATTGTTAAGTTTAAACTGTGTGATTGATTTTTGCTGGCGTGTAAAAAAATATATGATAAATAGAAATATCAGCCAGTACAAATCAAATATGACAATATCTGAGAAAAAAAAGTTAAATTTGCTCATATGGAATATGTAGTGAATAATTTCTAAATTTCCCCCAGTCAAATAGATAGTCAATCTATCTATTTTTGTATAATCAAAAGTGAAAGCAATTTTAGTAAAATGTTGCTCTGAGTAGGAAAAAAATACTTAAACATACATAAGTAACTTAGTTAATCTCTAGCTATAGTCAAAGTTTTACAAAGAAATAAATAAATATCACGGTTCTCCATCATTTCAAATTAAACTGTGTCGCAAGACATTCGCGAACTGTTAATATTCGCGGTCATTTCGCGATTGAATTCACGAAGAAACCACAGAATAAATTGAAAAATCACACAGTTCTTCTAAATCACTAGTCTAATCCTCGAATGATATGGATTAGTTGGATATGAACTTATTTGAAAACAAAACAATTAAAGGATATCGAAAAAACATAGTTAAACAAAGATTCTTATCCTTTATATTTGTGTATTGTGAAAACGCGCCTCCCCCCACACTAACCCATATACGTATTTATAAATAAAAAGAGTATTAGCTTACAGAATCTGAAAATAATAGTACCAATAATAACACTTTTAAGTGCTTAACCCAGATATTTTAAGGGGAAGAAGGACCTTTAGCTGAAAAAATACTTGTCATTCAATTTTTTTTATATTGTGTATATTTCTAATTAAGTATGTCCCACATATCTTAGAGCAGAAATATCATTAGGTTTCTGACCTTATTTTCGAGATATTGATTGACAAAGACTATGTCCTACAGTATCTAAGTGGAGTTTTAATTCTCCATGTTTCCGGGCTCATTACTCTGTCCACAATGGGATTTTTTAAGCATCTATAAAAAATATGTAAGTGGACATGTATCTTTTAAAATATTTCAGAGTATGAATAGGGTTTTAAATTCGAAAAAGCAAGTTTCTTCTATCACTCTGCATCTGGATAGGGAAAATTACGAACTTTTTAAGACAACTTAAACAACAAAAAACGTAATTTACAAAAAATTCTATCATTCAATATTTTTAAATTTACCTTGAAATGCAAGTCATCCGTATTATTGATTAACTGTAAAAATTTCGAATGGTGAAGCTGACCTCAATATTGCACAGGACATCGTGAAAGAAGGCATAAGCATGACAAAACCGTGTCATGTTTACATTTCTAGAGTACGGGAAAAACCAACTATGACGTCACGCGTAAGCTAAATAAGCGAAATAAGATATACCTACATAAGATTTCCGTCATCAGCAATGCAAAAGTAATTTTTGTGTTCCCCGTTTCTCAAAATATTTCATCACATACTGATTATGACCTGTTCTTACATAATAAATCCGCCCCTGTATTCACCGAGTATGATCTTGCTGTACTAACAGATCGTGTATGACGTCACCGACTTGTTGGACGCGCAGTTTAGGGAAAGAGAGGAGTGGATCAAACAATTTCATAATTTGTTAATGTTTACAAGAATGTTAAAACTTTTTATTTTTTATATATATAAGTTGGTAATCAAAGTAAACAAATGTCGAAAATTAATACAAGAACTGATGGTTTACATGTTTTGCACTTATATAAACGGAGACTATGACGTAGTTAAACAGAGTCATGTGACCATGTGTCCTTCATCCCCTTAAGAAAACACTTTTGTTTTCAAAAGGTAATTTATACACCCACGTACATAGTTCATTAAAGGGCAGAAGAAATTCTGGTAGGTCACACCTATGTATTTGCAATTACTGGTTCAGTTGACTTTAAGTAGTACAAAACACCCAGAAATCTGTTTTAACACATTTATCATTAAGTAAAACAGAAAAAAGAACAATATCACTATAATGAGTCAATAATCAATGACATTTTTAAGAAAAATAATAAACTTTGATATTTTTGCCATATTGATATGAAAATAAATAGAAACATCCTATACATAGGTAATTTGGACTCCCTACATTTAAGAATGTGTTTTTCACAAGATGAAACACTTCCTTTAAGTTTGGCTTAATGGTGGCTTATAGGTCCTTAATGATGGCTTAATGGTTTTTATTTAAGTCACCATTAAGCACCTTTAAGCTACCATTAAGTAATAAATACACCACCATTAATTTACCATTAACCCATCTCAAAGTCCTTAATGGGTGCTTAAAGGAAGCTTAATGGTGACTTAATGGTGGCTTATAGGTGCTTAATGGTAGCTTCTAGACAATCTTGATGTCACCATTAATCCACCATTAAGCCAGACTTATAGGTGCTTAATGTCTAAACTCCATTAAGCTACCATTAAACCACCTTTAAGCCACCATTAAGTCACCATTATGCAGTCGACAAAAAAACTGCTTTTATAGGTTAAATATTATTTCTATAATGATTTCTTCACAAAAATTATAAATGTCGAGTTTATACCTTTGTTAATTCGGCAAAAATA